CTTCTAGGCACTCAGCCGAAGTACCTTTTCAAATCTGGACTTCAAGGTAAATACCACTTGGTATTGCTGAAATAGCCCTTTTTACAAACACAGTGAGGGCAATAGAGACAACCCCACTGTTAAAAAGAAAAATAGGCCTCAAGAACAGTTCGTACAGCCCCCCAAAAACAGCCAAGTATAAGTAACAATCCACAGCCTTGTTACAAGGATGTTTCGGTAGTTTTAACAGTCCAAGAAGGAGTGAAAAACAGCCCAGAAATTTCTGGGTTAAACCAGATTCAATGGCAGCCGAAGGTAGTATAGAACAACCAGAGTTTTCGGACACTTCAACAGTCCAAACACATTCGAAAGTAATACAGAACAACTAGAAGAAAACTGAACCCAGAAATCTGAGCACAACTTACAGTTTCGAGCTTCAAACCAGAACCGAGTTGTTCCCCTTCCCCTTTTTTCCTTTCTCTGATTCTTCCTGGCCACCAAACCACTTCTCCAAGAGATTCGAGTCTTGGGCACTTCCAATGACCTCCAAGAATCAGGCAACGCGAGTTAAGCTTCCAACCCAAGGATATTGAAGTTCAGGTAAGCTCTGATACCATGAAGAAAACTGAAGAGAGGAGAGCTGAGAGTTCGGCAATGAGGGTCTGAGAAGAGAGTTTCGAACTTACACTCTCTCAGCACCCTAACACTATTTTATTNAAAACTGAAGAGAGGAGAGCTGAGAGTTCGGCAATGAGGGTCTGAGAAGAGAGTTTCGAACTTACACTCTCTCAGCACCCTAACACTATTTTATTTAGATATATTTGAATAATTACAARGAGGCCCTTAGTTGGGTAAGAATTTACAAAGAACTTAATATTGACAGGATGGGCCCAGAATAAGGCCCATTACAGAAAAGAAACATAAAAACAAGAAAGAATAAACAACCTATGGGTCATTCGGCCCATCTTCTCTACACATTCTAACTTTCCACTCACCTGAACTGCTTTCTCCAAGAATGTCCGAAACCAAACTACAGCTTCTTTCCCGACCAGTAATACCATAGCCTTGTTTAATTCTCTGATTTTCAGAGCTTTCTTCCCTTTCACCCTAAAGCTTTCAAAAAAAACTGCTTAGCCTCAACCTTCAAGGTCCTTCTCCAGCTTGTTGCCATGATAAAATCTCCTTCCTCCTTCAATCCTCCCCTAGCCATCTCTAACTCTTCTACTACACTACTACTACAAGAAATATAAACAGAAGAACAAATTAAACATCCCCAAAGTCCCAGACTTTTCAGGAAATGAAGAGCCATACAGCTTTATCCTAATCCCATTAAAGTGTAACATCTATGTTTACACTTTGACTTAATAAATTGAATCCTCCAATTGTGGGATTAGTTCTCCACCCACCCACCCTCAAACCAAGAATAAAAATAAAAGCAAAAGAAAAAAATCCACCTAGTATTTTCTTGTTCTGCACTTCTTCATTAGTTGATTTGTTTTATTCATATTCTCCTTTCGGTAAAATTTCACATTTCTCTGAATGAAAAAATAATAAAAATTGCAAGGATTTTAAAACATTCCAAGTTTTGTAAAATATCTTGTACAATAGAATTACAAAGACGGAGCTAAGAAACATCCTTTACCCCAAAAGGTTGCTTACCTGGTTCAACGTTTATTGTCTGGTAAGCAATACCATTAGGGACAAGAGAATCATTGTACCGATATGGGCCTAATCCATTAATGAGGATGCCATCAGGCGGTCCAAGGTTAATCCCATCTTCGAGGTCTTTCCTCAGTCCCTGTTGTCCCCTGAAGCTATAAGTCCCAAACTAACTGGACAAAGAACTAGACTAAAATATACAAAACAAAAAGGTGAACTGACCTTATGACTCTTGGTATACCAGTCACTAATAAAGATTGTAATATCTCCATCAGGTGTTCCAAATGGTACTGGAATAATATTTCGATTATTTATGACAATTCCTCCGTATCCACCTGCAGCTCTCTGAAAATTTAGGGAAGGGAAATAAAAGAAACTCCCTATCTGATCTTTAACTTGAAACTGAAATGTCCAATTCCAACCAGCAGGGATAGGACAATTAGTGCCAGAAACACCATCCTGCCAAGAGTTCTTCCTTAGTTGTATACCATTCCTGCATTAACATCACCAAACAATTAACATCATCAAAATTTGCAGACATCATCATCAATAATTCACAGTTAATACTTACCATGTGACAAGAAGTGGCTCATCCAAATCGTTTTTTACATTCACAACAACATTCCAGTTAGTAGTCACATTAAGAATTGGCCCAGGAAACAGTCCATTAATTCCAATCACCTGAAATCATGATGTACATGAGCTATCACTATGTATGGTTATTTTACATGAAAATCAAAGGTGAGGAGAAAAGTCGATGAGAAATATTTTAGATTTTAGTCAGGCAGGGCACATGGGAATATATGTACAGGAAATTCTATATATGTGCAGGAGAAGTGGATAAAAAATTCAAAGCAACCCCTTAGCTTATTTAGCAGCCAGGAGTGCCTTGTCAAAATGCCTGAAATAAATAGATCAATTTTATAACAATGAAGTACCATAGTTAACCAACACACTTCTGTGTACAACATTTTTTTTTTTTGAAATTATTCTGATTTGTAAAAATTGTACACATCTTTGATCCCATGAAATTTCATGTTGGGCTTTCCTCAGCCAACACATGGACATGTTTCATGCATTAGATAGGACTCCAAAGAGGAGTACATAACACTAAATTTTCAAATCACAATAACTGAAACAAATGGAACCCTAAAGGATTTTCCCCAAATACCATTAAAATTGATTTCTACAGGAAAGTTGGTAAATTGTGGACCTTCTACCTCAAGGGATGTTGAATATTTGATGAAATCTTCAGGGTGTTATAGCTATTTTACTATTCATGATAAATGATAATGGAAGGGCCAATGGCTCTACTCTTTTGTGCAGGCAAATACCGTTTCTTTCTCTCTTTGTTAGAGTAATTAGAAACTTCATTAAAAATGAACAAAAGACAAGAGAGAGCATAAGACAAGTATACGAGCTTTGTTGGCCAAGCACCCACAGTGAAAAACACCACACAACACCAAAGAACCTAAACCTGACAAACATAAATTTCATCCCCGGAAACCCACTCCGAACCAAACACCCTTCTATCAAGCCCTAATTCAGTATCAGACATCCCTTAATTTGAGAGAAACCTGAGTACCATTAGTAGTGGAACTTGTTTCTAAACTGAGCTTGAAGATGTTGTACATGCATTGAAACCAACCAATAATTAATTAGATTACTGATCAAAAAAATAATTAATCAGATTAACGTTTTGATAAGGAGTCTAAGTGATTTTGGGGAAGATGATAAAGAGTTAAGGTGGGGTTTAAAGAAACAATTAGAAGACAATGTATACAAAGAAGAGATCTGGTGGAGGCAAAAATCAAGATATAAAAAGATCAAAGAAGGACACAGAAACACAAAATCTTTTCATGCAGTGGCTAATGGAAGAAGAAAAAGAATTTTGTCTCCATATTGATGATAGGGGGAATTGGGATTCATCAATAGGAAGAAATAGCTAGGGCTTTTGCGGATCACTTTAAATCTATTTTTAGAAAGCCCTTGAATATAAGACTCATGGTGGAGACTATGAATTGGCCTAGATTGAGTAGAGAATCCAAGGAAATATTACAAGAAATTATGAAGGTTGTCTTTTCTATGGATATATCAAAAGGCTCCCAAGACCAGATGGATATAGCAAGGCTTTCTACCAAAATTGTTGGGATAGCTTAAATTTTGATTTAATGGAGGTCTTCAATGAGTTCTTCAAAAGAGGAATAATAAACCCACAAGTGAATGCTACTTTCTTGACCATAATACCCTAGAAACCCCAAGCCAATAATAAACCCAAGCAACCTGACCATAATACTTTTTTTTCATTATTGTTTTCTAAGACAAATAAATAAAAAGGAAAATTGACTATGGAAGAAGAAAGAAATACAACAAGGTGATAAGAAATCACCCCAAGGAAAAAAGAAAAGCCACCCCTAAGATCAACCTAACAAAGACAAAACCCACAAACACCACTATAATTTTGAAAAAGAACCCCAGCGTCCCAATTACAATTCATCCCTCACCCAAAATCAAATTTAAAAGGATCATCCATCAATTACCATTACCTCTCCCCCTCTTGCATCTGAACTCTTCTTCCTCCAACCTTGGCCTCCAATTTCTTCAATTTCTCTAAAAACTTTCCTTGCAATCCTTTTGAATTTGAAACTTGTTCGGATTGGATCCTTTYGGTTTCTATATCGAAGATATACTTACGAAGTTGTTCCAACTTATTGATTGGCACTAACCATAGATCCTTGCCCCTGAGAAATGAATCRATACTTACTTTCTGCTCGAGCTCCATCATGTACTTGTACTATTTACAACCCCCCAAAATCGGGATTCTAGTGGAACAGAACAAACTATGTCGAGCCAAGAGCACCTTCATTCCTATATAAAATGGTGGATGTAAGAATCCACAGCCGATTATGTCCTTCAAGTCGCACGTTGCTTTCTACCACATCGTTTCAAACGAAGCTTTACCATAACATTCCTCTAATTTGAAATTTGAAACCAGTATGAATTGATTCAATATGGAATCATGAATAATCATTCGCTCAATCGGTACACTCCTCACTCCATAAGAAATGTAACCCCAAGATTTTGCTCATTTCCACCTCCTTATTAACCACTTCATCCAAATCTATCCTTCTTTGAACAACATAAGTTTTGTCAAATTCCACTTCCCTCTCTTGAAGCGAACCACCTGAACCCAAATGCTCTCTTTCTTCAGCCTCTTCAACAGGTTTAGTTTTAAATTTTCTCATCTCCGGGTCCTGAACTGTGTTTTCTTTGATCAACTCCTAGCTTCAGATCCATCTTCCCTGTCTCTTGATCCAAAGCTTGACAAAGATTGTTGCCTTGACAATGAAGAGCACCTTCAGACTCCTCCAAACATGCATCATGGGTTTGGCTAAAACAAGGGTTATCAGGCATCCCCACTTTACCTTTAACTTTAAATTTCTTTCTCTTATACACTCTTCTGAACTTATTGGATGGGCCAGCACCACAAACACCTTTGAACCTAGAAAAATCTTTATCACATGCACCAACTACTTTTTGAACTCTTCATCTTTTTTTGGATTCACTAATATCTTGCTATCACCTTTATCACCTTACGAACACTTTCCTACCCAAATCTTTGCCCAATCTCCCAATAACAACTCTTTCAAAGTTACCTGAAACCACATTCCTTGAATCTCTGGAAACACAATTTGAAAGCAGGCTCGACCCCATTTGTCTCACCACCAACCCTCGCTTCAACCTCCAAAGGACCAATCAAACAATAACTAAGAAAAACACCCCACACCGGCTATCTCAACTCACCTCCCCCAACTCGACTCCACCAAACCATTATCATTTTGACAACCACAAACCTCTCCTTCAATGTTAAGCTTACCAAATTCTCCTATCACCGCACTCCCATACTTTTGTTGATTCAAGACCACCATTGGCCCTGTTTCAAAAGCACCCCACCCCCCAAGGCAAAGTAGGAATATTAATACATACCTCACCAACAACCACACTGGTCATCATACTTGTCTAGTAGAGACTTGAGATCAGATCTACTCTAGATGAGAATTCAAAACAGAGAATGGAATAGGGGGAGAGAGAGAGAAGAGAGAAGACAAAGAGAAAGATTTCAGAGAAGAGAGTGAATAGGCTTGCCACCCCACTCAGTTATATATATATAATAACTTAAAAAAAAGTACACTTACAATATTGCCCCTACTAACATAACACATGTCAGCAACTTAAAATAATAACAGAAATAACTAACTTAACTTACTAACACTAACAGCAATATAAATAAAGAGACATTACTGCCCTACAACTCTACACTCCCCCTCAAGTTGGGAGTAGATATCAATCATTCCCAACTTGCGTAAGTCTGTCTCCAACTTGGTCTTTGGAACTGCCTTAGTGAAGAGATCAACAAGCTGCATGTCAGAGGCAATACATGGAAGACACACTTCTTGAGAATCAACTTTCCCTCTGATAAAGTGTCGATCCACTTCAATATGATTAGTTTTGTCATGTTAAACCGGGTTATGGGTAATTTTAATAGCAGTCTAATTATCACAATACAGCATCAAGGGCTTTTCATAAGCAATACCCAGTTCTTCAAATAGAGATCTCAACCATAAGATTTCAGCCACACCACTAACCATAGATCTGGATTCAACTTCAGCACTGGAACGAGCAACAACATTCTGTTTTTTGCTTCTCCAAGAGACAAGATTTCCTCCTATAAAGGCACAATACCCAAAGGTGGATCTCCTATCATCAACACACCCGACCCAATCTGCATCTATGTAGACCTCTTCCTGGACATCTCTTAAGATAAGCAAGGAACCTCTCAACTGCAAGGTGAGTGGTTCTGGGGGAATGCATGTACTGGCTAACAACACTGACGGCATAAGAAATGTCCAGTCGTGTGAGGCAAAGATAAAGAAGCTTCTCAACTAACCGTTGAAACATAACATTGTCTTCAAGGGGCTCTCCACCTTTTGCACTTATCCTATGATCCTGTTCAATAGGTGTGTCAACAGGTTTAACTCCTAGTTTTCCAATTTCTTCCAAAAGATCGAGAACATACTTCCTTTGGGAGACAAAAATCCTATGTTTGGACCGTGCTACCTCAATTCCCAAGAAATATCGTAGCTCTCACAGGTCTTTGACCTCAAACTCTTGGTGAAGCAATTGCTTAAGAGAGTCAATCTCGCGGGTATCACTACCTGCCGCAACAATGGCATCGACATATACAACAAGTAAAGTCAAGGAGGAATCCATCTTCTTCATGAAAAGAGTGTAATTTGATTGGGCCTGTACATAGCCGAATTTTTCAAGGGCCTGTACATAGCCGAATTTTTCAAGGGCCTGTATGAATCTATCAAACCATGCTCTGGGAGATTGTTTCAGTCCATATAAGGCTTTATTCATTCAGCAAACCTTCTTCCCCACTTCTGCATTATAGAATCCGAAAGGCAACTCCATATGCACCTCCTCCTGCAAATCACCATTTAGGAAGGCATTTTTTACATCAATCTGAAATAATGGCCATGAGAAATTTGTTGCAATGGATAGTAGAACTCTGATAGTATTCATCTTGGCTACCAGTGCAAAAGTTTCCAAATAGTCTATGCCATATGTCTGTGTAAACCCCTTTGCAACTAATTTGGCCATATATCTTTCGATAGAGC